ATAATACAACTGTTTTTCACTTGATTTATTAGTTACAACCATTCTTATTTTCACTGTATGTACTTTTTACAGAATTGACTTACACTGTTCTCCGTTTGGTCCGTACATTTTTTCTTAATTTCCCTGTAATTCCTCTGATTAAAAAACGGACAAGTGCATTTAAAATTTTAGCGAGTATGAATTATCAAAATGTATTATCTTAAATTGACCTTTTAATATTTAATATTCAAATTAAAAGGTCATAATCAATGAATGTTTCATACAGCCTTTCAAGCCAAACAAAGAGTTGACGCAACTGCTTTAATATATGACCTTCCTTCGTATATATGTTGCTTTTCTATGATTTCTTTTACTCAATTATTTATAATAACGCACCGTCCGTGTTTCAACTTTGTCAGCTCTCCTGTTTGAGTTGGTGACCTGCTGGTCTCTCTGCCGGTGATCCTGGGTTGCTAGTTTCTGTTGGGGTGTTTTTATTGAATGTCGCTCTTTCTTGTTGATATTTGTTCTCACACTTTGTTACAGTTTTAAATAAACAAAATTTTAGCTTTGTCTCTGTGTGTCGTTTTCCTCGTTCGTACTTAATAAACAATAACTGGAACCGACATGTCAGTTAAAGTGAGGAAAAAATACAATTGAAAGAGTTTCACGAAAATCCACTTTGCGTGCTGGGAAATCTAATAGCGTCATTTGACAAACCGGCTTAGACAAATAGCGTTTAAATTGTCACGTGGGATTTAACAGTGTCCTAGCCGTATCTTATTTGATAAAAAATCCATTTGTCATTAGTTAAGTCCGACTTTCCATATGCAAACTCATTGGGTATTAATGTAAATTCTTAGCTATATGTTGCATTATATAAAACATGATTTACTAGCCTGTTCAGTAGGACCAGTTTGTTAATAAAGAACAATAAGTTTTGATGTGTGATATTAAGTTCTTTTATGTAAAATTGGAAATCAAAGTTGACATTTTCTTACACAATTAGAAATACCTGTATTGCACATTGTCTTAGTATCTTTAAATAAATGTTTGAAGTGGATTGGTCTCCATTGTGCACAATTTCCATTAAGTATTTCGAATACATGTATTGATAAAATAAATATGCTATTTGGATTTTTTCATGAATATTTCCAAATTGTATTCGAAAGAGTCAGCTATTATTTTTTCCTCTGTTATTTTATTCGATATCATCTGTATTTTACTTGATTTATGACAATAAACTTTATGGTCCATAATCTAGTTGTAATTGAATTAATTTCATATATTAATCATTGAGTTGGTGCTATGCTTTTTATAACAAATCTTGAGCAATAGATATAATCACGTGGTTTATTGCCAACGTTATACTTGTATATCAATAAAAAGTAATAAAATTGTGTCTAGTATATAGATATGGCATTACATATTATCAGTGTAGCAAAATCACACAATAACAGCTCATGCAGGCTGAATTTAATGACAAAACAATAGAGTAAGAATATTAAAATAATGTCAATTGTAGCCCATGGTAGACATGCCGATGGCTTTGACAATAATTAATTTTGATTAGTAGACCATTGTACAACTGCATTACTAAATACAATTCCAGAATTGAAATTGGACACAATGTCATAACAGATCTGTAAAGATAAGATAAACAATGGAATTATATGTGATAATAAAACTGAATGAACATACGTGTTATATGTGCATTAAGGATTGAAAAGTAATCTAAAATTGTCAGCAGTGATAAATGACAAGAAAACAGAGAAAAATCACAACAATATCATTGCATTTAATTTTTACGAAAAGCATCAAATTTAGCAGGCATCGCAAACTCAATTGCTTTTTCATTGTTAGAAAAAAACTGCAAATCCTCAGCTGCAAAATCCATATTCTGAACAGCTTAACAATCGTGATCATTTGATGCTTTTGAAGTAAAACTCATATACTAGTGTATTCAGTGTTACCATTTGTCTTTTTCAAGCGCAAGGAACACATTGGCCTATTGCATAAAGTGATTCTCTCTCAGCCCGGGGATTGAGAGCTGTAGTTAAATAAGGGCCAATGTCACATTTTTACGACAACTGTGTAATTTTATTATGCCTCTATACAGCTTTAATTTATCTAACAGGATCTTTTACAAGTACTTGTTTATCGCCACTACGCGTTATTTATAACTACTTTGACATTACAACAACCATATAAAGGTACGCTTATGTTTATCTGTCCTCTTTGAATCGGATTGATAATACATTGGTCGCTGGTTCAATCCTTGGGCAAGGCTTTATCACTCCGTGACAATTGATATCGGACATTGAGTCTATATGGTCAGTTGTCTCTAACCGCTGATTCAGACATGTTGCTTTGTCTGAGAAATTGGTTATTACTGATTGGTATCTGGGAAAGTCGGTCGGATGGATCGACCGCCAAGTACGACCAAATATTTGTTTTAAAATCGGCATTAAAACAAGAAGAAGAAAAACAACAACAACAGAAAACAAACGTTTGTCTTTATAGCAACAATGTCTTTTTTTTATTGAATATCAATAGTTTTGATCTATTAGTTTCAATGCCTATAGAAACAGGAAATATAAATTTCTGGATACTGGCGACTATTTAAAGCGAATTGGTCTACTAGTATGATGGAAGATCTATAAATACCATTTATTTAATAATTATGTTGATAATATCTAGTTATAGTATCATACGTGAAAACAAACCACGAAAAAATTAAATATGGTTTTTGTTGGTGAGAGCTAGATACATGACCCGATATGACATATCTATATATATATATAGTAGATAATAAAGTGTTTGAGAACAAAATATTATTATTCATCATATCGTATGTTTATATTAATTTTAAAATCAGTTTAGAATACTGTCAACATATCTTTTTGGAAATATTCATTAAAAAATCCAAATAACATATTTTTTTATCAATACAAGTTTTTTGAAATACTTAATGGAAATTGTACATGTAGACCAATCCACTTCAAACATTCATTCAAAGCTACTAAGACTGTGCAATACATGATGACATGTATTTCTAATTGTGTAAGAAAATATCAACATTGATTTCCAATTTTCCAGGAAAGAACTAAATATCACACATCAAAACTGATATGTTGTTTATTAAAAAACTGATCCTATTGATCAGGCAAGTAAACCATGTCCTATACAATGCAACATATAGCTTTTTCCATACCGAAATATTTACATTAATACCCAATGAGTTTGCATATGGAAAGTCGGACTTAACTAATGACAAATGGACTTTTTTTATCAAAAAAAGATACGGCTAGGACACTGTTAAATCCCACGTGACAATTTAAACGCTATTTGTCTAAGCCGATTTGTCAAATGACGCTATTAGAGTTCCCAGCACGCAAAGTGGATTTTCGCGAAACTCTTTCAATTGTATTTTTTTCTCGCTTTAACTGACATGACTGTTCCAGTTATTGATACATAAAATACAAATGGAGATGACAACACACAGAGACAATACTAAAGTTTTGTTTATTTTAAAGTGTAAGAAAATATGAGAACAAATATCAACACGAAAGAGTGACATTCAATAAAAGCACCCCAATAGAAACTAGCAACAAGGAAGATAAGTTGGTCATCAACCAAAGCAGGAGGGGGTACAAGTGAGATTCGCGGATGTGGCGTTATTAAAAATAATTCAATAAAAGTCAATGGAAACATAGAAAACCAACAAAGACATTAAGGAGGTCATAAATAAGAGCAGTTGTGTCAAATTTTAGTTAGGCTTGATCGGCTATATGAAACGTTCATTGATTATGTCCTTAAAATTTGAATATTAAAATGTTAATATCAACCTTTAAATATTAAAAGGTCTATCTAAGATAATACATTTTGGTGATAATTATGAGTTTTGAAGGTTGGATATTGTAACTGGTTCATTGTGAATTACATTGTATGTCTAAAACAATTAAACACTTAAATATAATAATATTCAAAACCATAACACAGTTCAATGTACATTTTATTAACACAAATATATTGTATCAATATATACAAACCTACCCCTGTTATAGGAATTTGAGCATTCAACATTTCATGATAACTAACTTAATTGTCATTTTCTATCACAAATGATTTACTGACCTCATACATTGCACGTATGCATTGCTCTCAAAAGTGCATATAAACGAAAACCAATAGATAAATAAATAAATACAAAGATAAAAAACGAACGAAAACAATAAATTATACAGTGTAATTTTTTTTCAAAGGGCATTTCAAAGAGCAATGTCTTCGAAATAGTTACCTTCTGTAATAATATCATGCGATTATAAATAATCTTAGGTAATGATGTCACTCTCTCTAACATTATTCCAGAAATATCATATAACTTAACACACAAGCATGTCCCTTAAAAATAAAAGGATAGTTACTAGTATAATAAACCAGTTAAAGGAGTTCCAACGAGATCTGAAATTCTTTCATAGATCAAGCAATGCACTAAAAATTGAAAAATCTGCAAAAGGTAATAGAGAAATATACTTAGAAATGATCGAATACTATTTTTTGGCACTATTTAAGCCCGTTATGAATAAAAAACGTTACAACGCTTGTCAGTTGTTTCGGTCACGTTGCATAATAAAAACTGAATATATTGTAAAAATGGAGTGAGGGAATAATTTGAAATTTTGCACGCAAGTTATTAGTTTAGATATACATCAAGCAGTGCACAAGTCCTGAAAAGAAATACAGTATCTTTTATGTAAAAACATCAGTGGAGTTCCTTTAAATTGAGCCTTATTACGATTACGAAATGACAAAACGTGTAAAACCCTTTATATACCGTTATTTATAATTTATACGAGTATCAATTCTGAATATCATTTCCTTATTAAAGTATAAGGAATACATTCATGTTTGCACTTAATATCTAAAACGTCGAAACAGGAGATTTTTACACAATGTTCTGTCTGTTTGTTTTACAAACAAAATTAGGTTTGACAACTCATTCAGAACATTCTTTGATGGAAGAATGGTTGATACGCAACGTGATTGTAACTCAGCACTGTAGCAGACACACTGGCGTGGCACGTGTTCGACGGTGACATCAGTAAGCAAAACATGTTTAAGGTAAAACAACAATTCACATTCTTGCACAAAACCTGCCCACGCCGGTACATTCTTACATTGTAAGAGAAGAAAATATACATTAACTGCTAAAATCATGCGGGCACGCGCCGTTTCAAAATGTGTGTGACTCAGTGCGCCAAGTATTATTAACTGACTGCAATGACGGCCCCGTTAGTTTCATTATATAAAACAAAACTTGCAAATGACATTGCAGCCATGACGAAATCGATTTCTTAATATGAAAAACAATTTACGAAACACAGAATTACCGTATCAGCCGTATACTTTAATGTGCAAGAATAGCAGGAATTCACCTTGTTCGTGCATTAACAGCTGCAGAACCCCGTTACTATATCAAGTCCCTCGCCATGCGGACTTTGGCATTAAATGCGTTATCGTGCATCAAGTTTCTTCAACAATTATTAAAGATGTATCTATACATATAATAGAGAAATAAGCTATATATGGAGAATAGATTCATACAATCGTGCAGAAATTTATTTTAACGATTAGAGATTTATTCTAGCGATTAGAGATTTTTACATTAAGCGGGTAGGAATCTATATAATCGGTATATATATAAGCACTATCAAGTAAAGATTTTTCCAATAGTCAAAATTTATATAAGTGAGTAAAGATTTATACTAGCGAGTAACTACAACAGTTCAACAAGTAAGTAGAGATTTATAATAGCGAGAAGAGATTCAAACAAGTGAGTAGATATTTATACTAGTATTAATAGTCGAAATTGCTCATACAAAAATTAAAACTTTCGGACCGGTTATTTTCCTCTAAGGCAAATAATCTTCTTCGTTTTTAAGTTATATAATGTGGTGTTTGTTTTCGATAAACTATTTAAAGAATTGATGAAAATCAAAACTTAAATGTTAAATTGAATTGAAAAAAATATCGCCTTGAACGTGATAGTGTACATGAATGAATATGTATGCAATATACATTTGCAAAAACACCCTCAATATATGTTATTAATTTTTATTATTGCCTGACAACAATAAAACAGAAGAAAAAAATACTGCGCTGTGTCTAATAATTATATATGTATATACATATACATTTCTCAGATAGCCAGTATTATCTCATTTACACAAACATTTACGATTTAAATATCTCCCATTATGTATGCAAATGTACAGCATTTTTCCGAAATGAAAGACTTATAATCATAGTCTGAATTGACTGTCTATAAATAATAAATATTATACATAAATCAACACAAATATATTTACAAAACAGGACAGCGTATACAATGTATTGCACGTGAATTTTCAAGCACGTGCTTCTATATTTAGCCATCATACTTAACATAACATAACAAATATAGAATATGATTTAGCATGACTATTAAAAGATTGCGTAAGCTAACCGTTGCATTTACATGTCGCCATTACTCATATTTTAGAGAACTCTCGAAATTGGCGGAACACGTTTCATCCAACGTACGTAACTTCTTAGAAGTTGAATGTTTCAATGTGTTTAAGCCTATCTAAAGATCATCGTACTCCCTAACATCTTCGGTCACTTCTTTTATTCGCTTGTTCTTCATCTCACTTGTCAAGTCAAAGTTATTTTCGTTCCTCATTCTTCTTGGTGTTGCAAAAGCATCAACGACCTTGTCTTCATATGATCTTTTCTCGTGTTTTCTCGCGCGACTACTGTCGTCTGCTGAGAAAATTTTAGGTAAGTGTAAATCTCCAACATGTTTACTACTCACAGAATGATGTTGGTCACGATTATTATAATTTGAGACAGAATGAAATCTGTGCTCGTAGCGTTTTCCTCGCTGGTGTGCTATTGGCGGAAATGACGTCAGCGCGTTCTGAGGATACTTGTCTTCAAACATAAACGCTGGCTTCTGGAGGTGAAATGGCAATCTAAGAAACAAAAATAAACAGTAAACATATTTATCCGTTTAGAAAATATATATTATTAATAACAACGTTGAATGAAAAAGTTTAATCAACAAGTTAAGCGATAAAATTCGTAAAAAAATAGGAATATAATGCGGAAGTTACAATAAATCGATTAGTTTGAAATCAAATTCTATTCATGAAAGAGCATATAATCAATACATAGTGTCATAACATATACAATAAATAGTTTATATACTTTTCTAAATACAAAAGTCAAAGAACCATAATATGTAGCAGAAGAAAAGGATTTATAGCTTGATTCAGGAATACAAAGTACATTTCTTTCACGTTACTAATATGTACTTACTTGTATGGCTTTTTGTCTAGATAGTGTTTCTCCGTATCCGTTAATATATTGACAGCTTCGTGAGGTGTCAAGAACCATTTCAGACCACGTTTATCTTTCGGAAGACTTTCACGCAATAGCTGTGAGGCAGACGATATCCGTGACCTTGTGTGGCATGTTTCGGCTGCTTTGAATAATTCTGCAGCAGATTCAAGTATTTCCTGTAATGATGAAACAAATATGAACAATATAGAAATTAAAAAGACTTGTATAGTATAAAATGATTTTTTTGCAAATAGGACTTTTCTTAATGCAAAAATAAATGATGTTTAATAAATTTTGTAAATCAAATCTATAAAATGCGTAGTTATTTGTTTCTATTTCATTATAATAAAGTATGCACTGTAAGTTATACAGTATGCCGGGTCACAAATACATTGTACAAATGTCTCATTCGATAGGAGACGATGATGATGAAAACAGTGGATGATTCGTTAAGAAGTTAGTGGGTTCTATTAAAAAACGACATTACTTTGTATGAAGGGCTGTGTTTGGGACTATCCAGATGAATTCGACCTTGACCTTTATTTCCATCGACCAGTGCGTGTTGTAGACTCATCAGCTCTGATGCAGTCGTGTTGGCGAATGATTTATGGTACCATGATCCGGATTCCAAGTCAAACGAATACTGACAAAAAATAAAGCAATTGTATTTCTATCAAACCCATTTAACATATTATTTAGACATTCATAACAAGTTTATTTTAAAATAGATCGATAATGGATAATTTGCTTATTCTTTAGAAAGGTTAAACATGTAAACTTCATAATGTTTACATACTGGATTTAGAGCATACAATATGATAAACAACCGGAGAAAGTTGCGTTCAACGTGCAAAAACGTGCCCTGTAAACATAATACATGTAGTATTTTTACGTCCGTACAAAATACTATTTCATATAATTATAGTTATACAAATTTTCCAAAGATAAAAAGAAGCAAAAAATTGATGATGTATACATTTATATAGCCAATGAATCATTTTATGAAAATCATTTCAGGATAGTTAAATTAAAATGTTTTTGAGAAATAAAAATTGAAATATTTCGGGGTCCTCATGGGTCTTTAATTTATCGACAGTAATTTGCAAAGGAAGATAAAAACTATACAGCATAGTACTTAATGCTTTCCTGATAGCTCTGATTAAAACTTTCTTATATCCGGTCAACTTTAATCTTTACCTCTGGTAAAAGTTTCCATCCATGCTTTGTTACCATATCTACAGCCTGAATTATGAAGTCAGATGTTTCGTCATCCATGAAGTACGCTAAATTAATGCGCGTAAATCCCGGTCTGAAAAAGGTAGAAATTCATATTTGTGTATGCTTCTTATTTTTATTAATTATTAAATTATTTAAGATAAAACAGGAAATGAATAACAAGATTAATGTGAGATGAAAGCTATTAAGAAAAAAGTTTGAATAGTTCTGACCGAAAGAGCGAGCTGTAGATCAGAATAAGTTTTTACAGTTGTGAAAATAGTTCCAACAAGAAAAGCATTGTAACGGTCTGAAGGATGAACTATGCCATTGTGTGAAATAGTTCTAGCAAAAAAAGCTATGTTATGGTGTAAAATAATTCTGACTTGAGGATTTTAGTAATGGTGTGGAAACAGTTTTAACTAAAAGACCTTTGTAATTGTGTGAAAAAAAGGACAAATAGATGGAGACAGAATATGGATAAAATACAAAAGCAACACTATATGTAAAAGTTTATTATTTATGTATCAACTAAGGAAGCTGAATAAAGCGAAACATGTTTTGATACTTAATTTGTGTTGGTTTTTGATCCAATTATCCTTATAAACGCCTAGGCTCTCTTAAACGGGCCAAAAATACCCGTGAAACACATACAGTCGATGACTCAGTGCGTTCCTTGTTTGATCCTTGTTTGATCCTTGTTTGATCCTTGTTTGATCCTTGTTTGATCGTTAACTGTTTATGAACTATCATGAAACATATATGTATCAGATCGGATATGGTCGAGGGCTTGCATCCGAATACCAATAACTTATATTTTGAAGACTAAATGAGTTATACATGTATATACTTACTTCATAATTTCCAAATGTGGAACTTCACTGTGTTCTTTCCTGTTCAGATAATGAAAATAAAATATTTTGTGTAAATATCATGAGGGGAAAAAAGCTTATCGTTGTACACGAACAGAACAATTTTGTTTTGTAAATGTTTCAAATATACTCAAAATATTAAAATCAGAGGAAATGTTGATTATAAAACGAACGGCTATACAATGTATATGTACGAGTACAGTATCTGGTACGTTTGCAGACCAGGATTGAAAGGTACGTTATTAACTGAAATTGTGCTTAAAAAGGAACCTAAAAATATCTAATCCGAACAAATAAAAGTCAATAAAAGAAAATAAAGAAAACAAACAAAAACCGATCTAACAATAAATGGATGCTAACAAAGAAAAGGCTAAAAGACCGCAAGTTACAGCGCGCAGAAGTTAACGATTTTGATATTGTTGTCAGATGTACGTACAGTATACATGACTCATAACTTCGTACATGACCAATTAGTTTTGTTTAAACATTTTCATCGTAGCTCTATTGTGATGGAAGTTTAAAGCCTATCTCGAGTCAGCCTTTCACTTCATAATAAAGAGTACTGTTAGCATACGAGAAAACAAAGTAACGGCCCAAATAGGGCTCGAACCCCGTAATTTCTGGGCAGACACCTTAACCACTAGGTAATTGCACATCGCTACTCTTCAACTACACGCATTCATTCATTCATTCATTCATTCATTCATTCTTTCTATTAAATGATAAGATGGTGATTAAGTAACATGCGCACTGAAAAGGTTATAATTATATTTAATTCAAAGCTTTACTTTTAGATGAGCCATTCTTACATTATACAGAATACAAGAGAGAAGCCACTGACCCCTTAATAGCTACCAGTATTTTTTTTTTCTTTTTTTTTACAGAATTTGAAAAAGAAACATACCATAAGTTGTGACTGGCAAGTGATTTGAAGTCATATACCCTAACCACTCAGCCACGGAGGCCACCTTGTTAGTTACAGTACATAAGAAAACTATCAAAAAGTTTACTTACCAGTTTGGTTTCTCTGACAGGAAAAATAGGTACTTTTTGGCAATTGGCTCCGATATGCCCATTAGATCCTAGAATTAATATAAATAATTTTACGTCAATCACCAACCGTGCTGTATCTGATACCAACTCAGTAAGATCAGATTTACAAATAGTTTCAACTGTATAGCTTGATGTATGAAATATTGTTATGATATTCAAATAACCTGAACAAATAATTATAGTTTTTTTCCGTCAATCTAGAAACATGATTGTGAAAAGGACACGGATGCCCCAGTATTTCAATCTTTCGTAAGCATACGGACGGACACCACGACGGCATGTCACTAGGACAGCGCTAGCGGAACGGACGGACAGTTACAAATCTTTACCCGTAAAGCAGTGGGGACATAAAAACGTTAAGTATGTTTTGGAAGCAATATCACTAGGTGGAAGTTTTAGTTAAAATGAAAAAGATTTACATATTTTTTAAAAGTCGGTGTATTTATACGTTTAATTAAAAATACTGAACCATTTTTGTTCATGATAATCAAATACTACATTTTAAAAAGTTATAAACAATTTAATATATGACATATAAGTTTGTTTATCAATTCGTTAACATAACAAAGTTTTTTTTTTGTTTTTTTTTATTTGAAAGTGTGTTCAACGATAAAAAAAACACGAATTATCCCTTTCCCAGGTGCATGCTAGATTATTATAGAAATCTGGCTATATTGCACATAGAACATGCAATTTACAAGTGTGTGATCACGTGATTGAGCAATGGACAACGTAAAAAACAACAACAAGTTTACAAACAACAATAATATCACCTACTTTTATACGCATGATTGTGAGTGACTACAAAACGAGTACTAACTACCATAGACAAATACTTACCTATAAAATTGCTAAAATAAATGCATGCAATGCTCATTGATTTTGAATAATCAAAGGGATACAACTCAAATCAAGAATTAATTCTAAAATGTTCCCATTTTCCTCCCTTGATTAATAATTTTAGGCCATATATTTATACAATAACATTTTACGTTTTAACTCGTCTGGTATTGTTTATTTCTCGAGAAGGGATAAATGGACGTAATCAAAAGTCAAAACCAATTACATAATTATAAAAGTAGCAGCATATTTTATTAAGCATATTTTGCAATTAATTTTTTTTTAGAAATTTTCATTTATTTAGGAATCATATAAATTATACAGTTGTTATTACCTGGGCATAAGGGCCTGCGCATGCGCATCCTCCACGTGCCTGTATTCCAAACAGATCACTGAGCAGACTTGATATAAAATTGTGATGAACAAGACGCCCAGTTTCTTGATGGACAGTAAGAAAGGAAAATATGGTCACACGGTCAGCGGTATGACTCCCTAACACAAATATAGAAGGGTTCTCCTCCCATACCTTAAACGCCCGTCTGAAAGAGAATAAAAAAAATCTAAAAGTAAACAGCTGAAAGCTAAATAAAAAAAACATGTATACTGCAATCTTATACAACAGGGACAAAGATAATGTTATTGACGTGACATAATGTAATATCAAAGAAAATGTATAAGCGCCCTGCACTGAAAACGGGTATACATTCCTTACATCACCAAAAATGACAGGCGGTGTCAATGAGTGTGTGTCTTTGATAAATACTTAATGCTCATATCTGCAGATATCATCAAGATATGAATATTACCATAGTTAATTTTATCATTTTATGTATCTATAACTTAATAAAATGTTTCACTGTAATGAACTCTATGAATCTAATATAAGATTAAAGGCTTAATACACGTGAAAAAGCTATAATTTCTTTACAAAATTACCAAAGTAATAAACATCTGACATGCTCCAAAAATTATAAATCACAGTTCTTAAGAAACATTTTTATGTTACAGTATTTATTTCTGAGGAACAATTATGCCTGTAAGTTGCTTATTGGAACGGTCACTTTCTTTGTACCAAGAAAAAAACATTTACCTTGCCAGTATCTTTTCTCTTGCATGAATAAGGTCTGAGCTGATTTCCTGTATAAACAAGAGATGACTTTTAATCTAATTGGTTTCTAACAAAGTGTACAAATAAAAATTAATATACATGTATTACATGTATATCTTATATAAATAAGTTAATATTTCAAGTTCATACAATTAATGTAGTTCATTTCACCATTTCAGTACGTTTGTGCTATCATTATTTTGGTACATATATAGGTATACTATTTTTTAATGTTTCATTACTATTTATCGAAAGAAAGAAATGGTTTGAAGTATTTCTGTAGACAGATAAGAATGAAAGGTAAAATTTATCTAGAAAAAGTGGGCGTCATTATGGAGAGTCTCCCAACAATTGATTTACTGTATAGCTGAATACACACGTTTGGAATATTTTTACAAGACATTAGACTCAAGACCGTTTCCGCTTATTGCGTACCGATTAGAAAAAAACAACTCATTATCAAATAAACCAACAAGTTTAAAAAGGAAATCTTATATTTTATTTTAAAAAATGAACAAAATTGTTTGCCACAAGGCTGCCATTATACTCGCCTGTTTCAACTGAAATACGATCCCCGCCCTAATAGATTCAATTATAGCTGGTGTTCCTCCTTCCTCACGCTCTTCAATGTTTCCTACATAAGCATGTTGCTCTCTCGTTACCTTGAATTATCAATAATTATCGATTATCATCAATTATTATCAATTGTTATCATAAACATATATTTACTATGTAGACGGTCTTATATCATATTTGATTGCATAACACACATTTAATTCAGGTTAATGTTTACATATAAATCATAACAAAATACATAAGGTGTGGAAGAAACAAACGTAGATGAAATGTATCAAAGAATTTGAAAATTGAATTTTCATTTTATTGGACAAAAACATAATTTCAACCACTAGGTGAAAATAAATAGGTCAGTCCTGGAGAAAAGTTTCAATCACTGTGTTTGTATAGAGGAAGCTACTAAACAATGGTAAAACGAACTGACGTAAAACATCAGTTCAAGCGGCAGAACTCTTACAATTACTCGACTTCAACTGAACATTGGATTACGCACCCTTTTAGTGCGCTTACAAAAATGATGAAATTTTACTTACAAATCTCACTGTCCCACCACCAACTCTGTCTGGCACGGTGTTCTTGAATATCCACTTCTTTGCAATGACAACACCTTCAAATATAAGTGTCAAGTTTTTAGTCCGAAACTACTAAACACTAAAAACAGTTTTCCTCATTTAAGAATTGATAAACAGATTCATGAATATAAACAACATAGAACTTTTACAACAAAACAATTTTGTGGAATTGATTTATTTGAATTAATGTGAAATCCAACATTTACGTAACTATAATTATATGATTATGAAGATCTTGAAAATAGATGATAAAATAACATGGTCAATACCTGGAGTTCCTGGTCCGCCGACAAACTTGTGTGGGCTAACAATAACGGCATCTTTGTATCTGAAATTTAATATACAACGCAGCATATTTCAGCTTGAAATATTTTTGTCTAAACCTTCAAGATGTAGACATTTTAATTTCACTACTAAAGTGTTTCTGAAAATAAGTTTTGCCACACGATTTACTTTAAAATATTTGTAAAATGGTTAAGAAAATGAAATGATTTTCTGGGGCTACACTTTTTTCACTATTTAAAATATGGTAATTTTACAAATAACAATTTTCGCTCTTTTTGACCGTTAAAAGTCTAAAACTATTAGATCATGGTCATGATTTTATTTGATTTGTCCATTGCTACTTAAAACAGTTTTTTATATCAAAGTGATGAAGTTGAGCTTTAAACAGAACAAACAAATTGCCCGGATGTCCAGCTAGATCTGACTGGAAGTCCAAGCTGATCAAGTATTTTGAAATAGTTTCTCTCGCAAAAGAGTAACTGTTTTTAAGGATAAATATAAAAAAAATTACTCACTCCATCTTTGATGGATTCATGTCAATATTTAGATATGGACCTTGAAAATGAAAGGAAAAATTAACTTAGAATTAAACACTTGATTACATACATATACATGATTTGTACAATTAAAACACAACTTAATAGCTTTTAATTCCACTTTTTTTTCGATTTGAGCTCCTCTCATGCGTGAGTCGGGTAACCTGTAAGCTATTATAGTGATAGTCATGCACACAATATAAAGATATTTTCATCCTATCATTAGAGCTACTAACATTCAACATCTATTCTAAATAAAATCAATATAAGAACGTAAACTTTCCATTAAGTTACGTTTAGACACATGGCAAAGACGTATCAATAAAGAATTGATTAAAGTTTGATAGAAACTAGAACTGCCACTATCATGGTGTTAATACCCCCGCATACCACTTTGTCAGAATCAACATTGGCCATTTAGAGCTGAAGGACAACCTCCCTGCCAAATCTGAGGTTACTATGCAAGTGCATTGCTAAGTTATGTATTCTACATGCTTCAAATGTGAAAATGTCAAAATCAATACATTGCGGACAGGACATTCTTTAGCAATTAAGAAGAAAAGCTTCTTTTTTTTGTCAAGGTCCCTGTGACCTTAACCTTTGACCCAGTGACCTCAAAATCAATAGGGGTCACCTTATAGTCATGATCAACATCCATGCCAAATATGAAGACTGTGGGTCAAAGGAATCTTAAGTTAATGGGTGGACAAACTTTTTGAAGTCAAAGTCCCTATGACCTTGACCTTTGATCTAGTGATCTCAAAATCAAAAGGGGTCATCTACTAATCATAGTCAACATCCATGCCAAATATGAAGACTGTGGGTCAAAGGAATCTAAAGTTATTGGGCAGACAAACTTTTTGATGTCCCTGTGACCTTGACCTTTGACCTGGTGACCTCAAAATCAATAGGGGTCATCTGCTAATCATGACTAACCTCCATTCCAAATATGAAGAATGTGGGTCAAAGGAATCTTAACTTATTGGGCGGACAAGCTTTTGGAAGTCAAGGCCCCTGTGACCTTGACCTTTGACCTGGTGACCTCAAAGTCAATAGGAGTCATCTTCTAATCATGACTAACCTCCATGCCAAATATGAAGACTGTGGGTCAAAGGAATCTTAAGTTATTGGGCGGACAAGCTTTTTGAAGTCATGGCCCCTATGACCTTGACCTTTGATCTGGTAACCTCAAAGTCAATAGGGGTCATTTACTTATCATGACTAGCTTCCATGCCAAATATGAAGACTGTGGGTCAAAGGAATCTTAAGTTATTGGGCGGACAAGCTTTTTGAAGTCCAGGCCCCTGTGACCTTGACTTTTGACCTGGTGACCTCAAAATCAATAGGGGTCATCTACTAATCATGATTAACCTTCATGCTAAATATGACGACTGTAGGTCAAAGGAATCTTAAGTTATTGGGCGGACAAGCTTTTTGAAGTCAAGGCCCCTGTGACCTTGACCTTTGACCTGGTGACCTCAAAATCAATAGGGGTCATCTACTAATCATGACTAACCTCCATGCTAAATATGACGACTGTAGGTCAAAGGAATCTTAAGTTATTGGGCGGACAAGCTTTTTGAAGTCAAGGCCCCTGTGACCTTGACCTTTGACGTAGTGATCTCAAAATCAATAGGGGTCATCTATTAATTATGACTAACCTCCATGCCAAATATGAAGACTAAGGGTCAAAGGAATCTTAAGTTATTGGGCGGACAAGAAAAAACCGACGGACAGCCGGACGGCCGGACGGACGGACGGACAAGCTGATTCCAGTATACCCCTCATACAACTTTGTTGTGCGGGGGTATAAAAATAGTTAAAAAAGCCATATAGCATCTTATTTTGTTCACTCCAAGAAAAATAGATTAGTTAACAGTTATTTTTACTGCTTATTTGAGAAAACGCATTTAATATTATCACAAGTTCAGATTCCTTTTCAAGCTGCATGCCTCCAGATGACCCAAAATATTTCAAGAAAATTAATCTTTGAAAAACTGTTCTAATGCTTAAGGAAGGTAAACAGATTAAAGTTTCATGTGATAATTTATCTTATGTGTCATTAATGACTGTTTTTGCAGTATTTATCACCATATTTCTACTGCGTTACTAACGCAGTAGGGGCTACTTTTGCATATTTTTCATCTTTTTGGTAATTTACGTGGATTATAAGTGCCGATTGCAATGTGTCAATTACATTCTCTGTTCACTTCAAAATATTTTACTTTTAAATACATGTTCAAAATTTTCACTAGGATGAATCTGGGGGCGTGGTACGTCCAGACTATAAATAATATTGGTACTTTGTACTATAGAAAGAAGTACTATTTGATATTTTTTGTAAATACAGATATCAACTTACCACCTCCGGCATAATCAAATATGACTAAAGCCCCATTTTGGTGTGCCAGTTTCGCCACCGCGTCAACATCCGTAATGATTCCCGTGACATTACTTGCCGCAGACATACACACCAACAGATGGCGCTTCTTTTCCTTCCAAAACTTAAACACAAAAAAGAATTAAACAGTAAAGGAATTATTCTTAAGAGTAAAACATAAATCTGATGAAAGAATTTTTATTCATTTATATAAATTCTGTAAGTGCTGTACTTGATTTATAATAAGTTATAATGATTTTTGACAGGTTATATGGCCCTATATATACGACCATATCACCTGTCAGGAATATTTATAACGAATTTATAATACAGAAAACTTCCTTTTATTGAGAAAAAGTGTGTGTATTTTTTAAAAAGGTTCATACGACTAACATAAAAACCATGTGAGTGTCTGTTATTTGAACTTTAAAGCGAAATAGTGGCTTAGTGAAGTGTGTGTCGAAGTTTCGACGCCTAATGGGGTAACAACCATATATGGCACTAGGGCTTGTTAGTTCCAGTAAGTGAACCCTGGAGTTGTCCAAGTAAGATTCAAGCTTAAAACGCTTCTTTAATTTTCATAGTACATTTTGCCAACTGCAGCTATGTATGTTAAAATTTTAACATATAAATCTTTCTACCTTTAGCTCATCTCTTAGTTGCTCTAAATCTATGACGCCGCGTTCTTGCTCGTGACGTATCCGAACAACCTGAAATAAACCATTTTCATTGGTCAAAACCATGTCATGACAAGTCTGTTGAAGACATTATTCAGTTTTGATACAATCCAACACTATGGTGGCTGATTTGTGCCATGTCGCATTTTCGCTCCGCAGGGCGCCAGGCAAAATACGAACTTACGACAAAATGACCAGTACTTCGTACAAAATAATGGTAGTGTTTTTGCAAGGCACCCTGCGGAGCGATAGGACGAAATGGTCACTCGAAATACATTTTTCAAATCGTTCATGAAATTTAGTATGGCTCCGAACGCATGTTACTTCAAGGTTATATATGACGAAATTGACGTTTTTTGTTGTGGTTTTTTTCAGTTTTCAATAGAATAAATTCAGAAAAAAAATAGGCAAGGCAAGCTTATGTAAGCAAAACGCATAAAAATATCTGTTTTATAATTATTTTGATTTTTTATGCAACTGTTTAATGATCAGATTATCAAGGTTTAATCAAAATTATATAACAATGTACACAAAACCACTTATGTCATATAAATAAACAGGACAATTGGCTTTCCGTCTATTTAGAATAATTTGCTTTATTCAGATATGTCACAAATTGTTATAAAATCAACGTTATCAAAACAAGGAACAAAACAAGATTAAATGTTACGACAACTATACAATTTGAAAGCATTCCACCACATTTGTGTCTGTCTCGTATTAAAAATGAGTGCAGCGGTTAATTGTACAAGGAAGGAACTTTGGCATGCATCTAGTTCACGAAACAGTCAAAAAATTGAAGAGTTTTTGTCCGATCACTGGGTGGAAAATCGTTTGAAAATAATCATTGAAGCTTGAAATTGGCACGGACATTCTACCATCAATGACGGACAATGTTTCACAAGAATATGAAATCGGGTTTGATCTAAAAGAGTTTTGAACGGACAAACTGTTGACCTTTGCTGTTTTACAAATCTAAGTGCCATTCCACCTATAAATGTAGAGCAATTTTCCACCGATTTAATTAAGGTCAATGAAATAATTAAGCGATATGACCGATAATCAGGGCTAATAATCTGTTGAAATGCCCGGCTTTGATTGAAATATCAAAATATTGAGACAATAGATAAAACGATTGTTCCACTATGAGGTCACCTGCAATAAATTCAAATAGCCGTATGAATAAATGCCTTAATTACTCAGTTCTAACGTTGAAATTGCCCAATGTTGGAAATGGTCAATACTTATTTTGAGGAATGTCGGCATCTTAAATACTGAAAACCTGTTTAAGAATGGAATTTGGCATTGTAACACAGTATTGACCGCTAACTTGAATCTGTACTCGTTACATGACATTATTTTTGTCATCTACCACAGTTGCCAATAAATGGAAATAAATAGATCGTTATAAAAAAAAAATAAGAAAAAATGACATACCTTTGTACCAAATTCCCTCCAAAGCAGAATGTTAGAGTGATGTTCATATGGTCCAATAAAAACAGCCTGAAAATGTTAATAATTGAATTAAGTATCATTTTAAATCTGGTTTTCCTTATTCAAAAACTGTGATTTTTTTGTGAATGTAATAAATGCATTTTACATGTAAAACAAGAATTTTAAAGATGCAAAACCTGGAGATAAAAAGTTGCTTGTCTAATGAATATGTTTTTAACAATTTGCAGATGCTTTAGAATATGCCATTGGCTCATACCGTTTCGGCAGCTATCCTCGGATTGTTCACCTTCAGGGCCCAAGCCACCTTGTGCATACCAGCCGTGGCCCCACTTCCGGTAAACACGACTACGTCATCTTTGTTAGCATTTACGCAACGTTTTATGATGTTTCTGTGAAAATTGTCATCAAAATGAGGTATTGCATGTTATACAATGTATCAGAAATGAAGATATTTGTACATTATAAAGAACTATGGAAAAAGTATATACAGTCATTTTATGGGGTATATATGGTCCTTAAGATATATGCTGTAATGTAAATATTTTGCATACTCCAAACTTGAAAACATATGACACTTTTATCATCATCTACTATGTATTTAGATAACATTTTTGATACAAAGAAAAATAATATAAAAGATGAGGTACACGCATGCAAATAAAAAATATCATACAAAAGAGTAAAATATACTATATTGCAATACAAATGTACTGTACATATTGTTCTTGCAGAAAATACAATTCTCTGTGGTAATGAGTCAATAAATTCGGCATTTTTCATATATTTTCGGACATAATCTTTATGTATACAAATAGAATACAAAAAATGTAGCTTTATTTATGTAATGATTTGAAATTAATGAGTAAATGTTTCATTCTTACTAAATTTTGTTGTTGCAGATTTTTAAAAGTCTGGTTAAAGAAATACTCACCTAGCCTCTTCACGAAATTTTCCTGTCTGTCGTGCATTGTGTCCTGTCGTAGAATGAGTATTGGCGTATGTTGGAATGACATAATCCCTTATAAAATCTTCTATAAATGTCAGGCTCCTGTACAACGATAACGTATGACATAAAATAAAAAAAACGCTAGATTTATAAATATACGAATTGTTATAGGGGTGTCCATGGCATAATGGTTTATGTTGCTGGAATCAAGGTATATTTGCTCCGTTGTCATCATGGTAGATTACAAACCCAACAGACATTTTTGGTATTCAGATAGACCGCAGATGGTCGGTGGTTTAACGAAGGTGCCAACTAGTGCCTAAAGAAGGTGTACCTTGTGTTCTTTCTATACCAATACCAATACTAGAAAGCTTTTTTTTAAATTGCCCTTATTATGTATCGAAAATAAATATTTAAAATCATTATAATACTATGAAAAAGCATGTGTAGAAAAGCATGGTCTTACATTTCCAAAATATTTTCAGTACTTTTATATATAACGATATAGTTTCCGAGCCGATGACTCGTTTTAGGCGTCTGAGCCAAGGAGCAGTCTACTGAATTCCTTCAGGTAGTTTTGTTTTTATGGTACCTTAGCTTTTTCTTTCTTTCTTGCCTACCTACCCATTTTACAGCTTGTGTTGAAGCGTAATTTTTGGCAAACAATTATAATATTAAATTGTATAGTTCAAATAAGTGAAATGACTGAATAATTATTAGATTATATTCTACTATTTAATGAGATAACAATCTATACTTACCGACCCGATGCTGTAAAGTCACAATATGTTACTGAAATGGAAATTCAAATTTCGATTAAAAATACAGACAGATACATTTGTAACAGATGTAACATTATAATCCAGAATAAAATGACAATACACAATTGAATACATTTACCATGTATATCAAACTAAAACTTGTTCCGTGCTATCACATTTCTCTTAAAAACATAATTTTTGATGCAATTTATTATGTATAATTGGTACATTCATGTGATATTATCTCAACATATTATGGCAAAGAGAAGGAATTCTAAAATTTTACGAAGTGTGCTATTTTCCGTTACCCAGTTGTCCTCTCTATAGTGTAGGCTTAAAAGATGTTAAAGATCCAAATGCGAGCATAAAGCTTCATATTTCCACAATTTGTAACATTTATATCATTTGTAACCTCGGCGATTGCGGGGTTGTGAGGTAAAAAGACCGAGTTTCTTTATTGTTGTTGATGTTTTTTGTGTGTTCTTTTTTAAAATCCCCCATTTTTTTTAAATACCCTCCCCTCCTGTCTCCTCACATCCGCAAAATTATCAGTATTCAAGTTTGTAATGTAGGGGCATTTGATAGGATGATAAAAATTATAAACTGAAAGTCCCCGCAGGATGGGATCATTGGCAGCGGTTTTTTAAAATCAAAATTTCCCTGTAATTCATTTTGATAGTGGGGGTGAAAGTTACAATTATTGAGATATACTTGTGCATAACTTTAATGCCTCATTTTTAATTTGTAATGAACTGATTTAAGCATTTTATCAAAGAGTAATTAGATTACCTTTTCTTTGACCATACGGTGTATTTATCACAAGGTCGTGTCCTATTACACTATCCTGCACGCGTCGTAGAATAGGATAGTCGGAATACTTCGAATTCGAATCATCCTGAAAAATTGAGGTGTTAAATGTATAGAAAATATATTATCTGTAAAATTCCCTTTAATGGCTTTGACCAATATATTATACGACAGTACGCTGTACGTGCAATTGACAGGGACGATTATAAGATTGTTTTTAAATCATCTTTTCGTAGGAAATGACATAATAATAATAATAAGAATAATAATGACGTCAATGACATTCATTTTCATTTGATATTACACATCGAAAATGTTAGAAACAATGAAGAAAAACTACAAATGGTTTTATACTTATATAAAGAATTAATTTTCTCCACTTTTTACAATGATTACTTGGTACACAACCTTTTTATTGAAAACCTAAAAGCATGAGCACAGTGTTTGCCCCATTCTTGCATTAGATAAGGTACGAACGGACACCTGAGTAGAACCACCGACCTCCCGGGTTTTCAAGCTGTATTAGTTTAATGCAAGGATAAAAAGCGACTAGAATCAAAATCAAACCTGACCATTTATATATTTCTCATTTACCTAAACTTTAGACGGACACTTGTTTTGAATGCTATTATAAAATCGGTGTATCTCAAAAACTAAAATAATGCAGTACAATATATCTTTGCAAATATAACAATTACCTTTGCTTTCGATCCTTTTGTCCTGGGTTTTGACTTGCCGGAAGCTAATGTCGAAACAGACGAACGTATATCCGGTAACAGCATAGAACTTCCGGAATCAGTTACACTTTCTATCGCACTGTCTTCAAAATGTTCCTCTGCGAAATGTGAGCTTTGCCATTCAACATCGCTTTCACTTTTGATCTCACTTTTTGTTTTTTCACTTTTCCCACTTATGTTTTTACTGGTCTTTTCTTTCGACTTTTCGTTATCAAGTTCATCGTGTCGAAGTTTCCGTTCCAAATCATCATTTATTTCAACCGCACTGTCTTTTTCACCAGGATTATCAAGTTTCGTATCTTTGACAAAGGCGATATCTGATTGTCTTTTTGTAAAAGAATCACTGATATTTTCTGAACGCATATTTTCATTTGTTGCCTCTTTAAAACTAATTCCAGAGTCATGATCGTCTGTTTTAATGACTTGAACGTTTTTCCAACCGCCCCCTATTCTTTTTCTTGTTGTTGACATAGTTGTTATTATTGTTAATGTCGTTTTGTATTTTGTAGTCTGCTTACTGTTGGACAAATTTAAGGTTAAAGTAAAATAAATATGAATGAGTATGATCAAACTTCGTTCAGCGACATGATTGTTCGAAAATAAAAAATAAAAAACATACAAGTATATCTTCAGATTTTATTCAACAGCTACTTTGCCCTTTACATTTCCTCAAACACTATGTAAATCCGTAACGATGAACTATAAAAAAAGATATTTCCGTCAACATTTGCTCTAAATTAAAAGAATTAAAAACCTAGTAAAATAACAAAAATTATATAGAATTCTTATTATTTTCCTTGTGTTATTTCACAAAGTATCTTCTAAACTACAAGTATCTTAACAATATATCGAAACAAAACACAAGAACCATATGAACAGCGCGTACAAGCGTACGAATTCTTTCAGAAAAAAAATGTTTATCAATTTTATGTTTATATTAAAACATTATATATGGGATTCTTTGTTTTGATAAGGCATGACACCGTAAATAACAATCAAAATATTCAACAATGAAAATTACCGATAACATTTATTATATCACACAATATCTCTATATCGGCAAACCGGATAATCTCTCACGCATAGATTTAGTTGTTATTTTCTTTTTTTTTCATAACGTTACTTGTTTTATTGGTCTAATTATTTTATGTATTTTTTCTTGTTATAATAACGGCTAATAATTTGTTTAGATATTCCATTCATCTGCGTTAATTCATTCAACGGTATGCAAAGTTCCGTAATTGACCTCGAGTAGGTAAAATATTTATTTAATATCTTGAAAGCAAATCTGTTTAAAGTTTTCTTGTAAACATTTTTGATTTCAAACTTACAATCAATATGTTTTATAATTATGACGCAACGGTGGCAACCAATAAAAAGTATTATGACAGAAATTTATTTCAGTCATTCCCCTTACAGAGACGAGAATGGGCTATGGGGACGGGGAGCGAGTTTAAACGAAGAAAGTAAAGTTGGAAAATGGAGTTTCATGTCAAGTCAATTAATTCAATTAATTTATAATTAATAACATAATTCATTCAAAGTACATTAAATAGCGTAAAACGTCGAAATTTAATTCAATGTTCCGTCATATCATATCAAAAACTCTCAGTGGAGTCCCTTTTAACGTCTTACACAAGTAGCCATATTAAAAACTTTATTTTAACTTCCATTGAATATCACGTTTGCTGGCGATAGCGATAAGAATAAAGCGTCCGCAATTTTTATTTAAAGGGACTCACTTTAGCTCACCACATCTCAGCAATGTTTCTCATATTGGTCCTTTTAAAGGGACAGTCCCGCCTATATTTCGTTCGGGTTAAGTAATGAAAATGTCGCTTTAACGACGTTTCATGATATCACAGTTTCCACTGCAAGGACTTTTACGTTAAAAATAGAACGTTCTCTAAAGTTTCTTGCACATAATGCCCTGTAAAAAGCCAAAATCATATCTCCTGTATATATATCATAATGAACTTGTCCTCTTTTCGCAGTACGGTCGCTTATTATATATGATTTGTGTCCTTGCATTTTGCACAAGTAATTTAACAAGCAGTCGCAATATTTTTAAACGAGTCTCGCGTTAACAAAAGACGGATTCCACATTATATCTTGGTCGCTGTATCATTAAAGTCCCATGTGTTTCCAATATTCAGTCACGCTTTCAAATATTTACTTTCTAAAGTCTTGTAAGTAGTAAGTAGTTCAATATATCTAGTAAGTTATATACATATATATATTTTTTTATCTAATTTTCTTAGTAACGATTAACAATTATATGATGTCTGTTTGAGCTGGAAGTAAAATTTAACAATTTATCTAGTACTTGGAATTGAAAGTAAGCAATTTTACAAATCAAATAAAGCTTAATTCACTTGAATTTGTCTTTTATAAATGAATTTAAATACTATAGAGGGAATCATACCTTCACCAAGCATTCAAATCCACAGAGTATGACTGCTTATTAGGAATTAAGGAACTAATTACAGCCTTTTTAACTAAAATGCCTCCGTTTCATATATTCTGGAGACAAGTCTTACTTTGTTTATTCTTAATGAACACTACGCAACAGGGGTTTTATACCCGTCATATTCAAATGACCCATGTCTGAATATCAGCCAACTTCAAGGCGCATAATCTTGGTGCCCTATTTCCGATATAAACCTTGACATTGATATGAAAACCAATAACTTAATCTTGTCATTCTTTCGACGCTGTGATTTTCGGAGTCACGTTCACGTAAAACCGTAAATGCTTTTTGCCAAGTTATGCTTTAAAATTAACGATAATTAAAATACTGAGCAATGTCAAGGTCGACTAACCCAGGAGGGGTATGATTGTTTTGAATTAAAACCAAATGAACAAAGCAACCTACGCCTTTGATGAAAATAGAGATTTGCGGCATAGTTCTAAAACAAAAGATGCATGTCATAAATCTTAATTATAAAATTGGTTTAGCACATAGACATCTTAACATATGGTTTGAATATAAAATCATTCTTATATTATGATTTGTTGTTGTGAAATAATATTAGACAGATTCTGCTCTAGTGCATGTGCACGTAAAGTTTAGTATTAATTTCATTTCCTGTTACATGTTAATTAAACTAGTCACCAGTTTCGAAAGAGGAAGAATGCTTACGTGATACAATGATAAAGGTCATTCAAAGGGAAGAAATCGCTGAGCTTGGACAGATATGATCAAAGAGAAGAAGATTAAGATTAGGTTTATTGTTTTCTAATGCGTTATGGTGGCCTTTTAAACACAAAGGAGAAAGCATTATTATAAAACGTTCTAACAAATACTCTTTTTCATTGCTTTCACAAGATCTTTTATGACAAAATTTGGTATATGTGTCTTATGATCCTTTGATTCAAGACTTTTATCTTGATTCGACCAAACCATATGACGTAATCGACGCCACTTTGACATGGCGCGAAAATGCGCGTTTGAAACAGACATGTAATTTGGATACAGCTCTATAACCCCCGATGTCTGAGGGAGGTAAAGTATATGTGATAGCCCCGCCCCATGCATGCCGATCAGAATGTCAGTATCAGACACGAGCTCTAATTGTTCAATCATGCTAAGACGATCAAGCTGTACCCCGTTCACAACTGCGTCTGTATCGGCTTCTTTAACTGATCTCCACACTTCCTCTTCATTTGCAATTCGCCTGGCTGTATATCCGGACGGATTCCTGGGATGCGCCATATAATGACGTCTCCAAATAATGGTTATGCGTAACTCATTGCAATTAAGCACGTGATCGTCGTCTATTTCAAATCGGTTCAAGACAAAATGGCGGTATTCGTTTGCAAAAGGCAAGTACTCGACCCTGTGTTGATTTATGTGACTTTTGTGTCCGAATCCGTTCCAAATCATGTGTTTATATCTAACCGGGCTGCTTAAACTACCAGCCCTAATTGGCACTCCGTACAAAATTTCCCAGGCTTGGTCAAAATTCGATTTTGGGTGAGAATCTAGCCATATAACCTCCAGATGGTATGGATCAATCTTGAATAATACCATGATCAAAAATACGTCATACCAATCCATAGTGGTATGGTAAAAATTTGCATATTCACGCCTTACTGTTAACACAGCAACCGTATCTTGATTTTTATGAGAGTCTAAAACATTTGTGTCAGTTTCCTTTATCACGAGCAATCCATTCATGTATTTCTGCAAAGCTTTGCCAATTTGTATAGACGAAATGTCAAGTTCGTTTCTGTTTAACACGAAAAATCCTTTATCTAATCTAAAATCTTCTTCTTCTTCAGATTGCAATAGCACATCCTCTAACTGCTCCCCTCCAACCTTCCCATGTCCAAATCTAGGATAGATGGTCACTTCCTCTAAAGAAACTAGATGTTTTTCTAATCCGTAGGTTACGAAACATCCGTTACAATAGTCTGTGGCATAATGAAACCAGTTCGGTACATCATCTGGTTTATAATCCCCTTCTTTTGAAAAATAGGCAAACTCCTCTTTATCATTTATCATATCTAATTTAAGATCCTGCTTCTTCTCCGGTAGAAGATCAAATCTAAACAACACGCATCTGTGACCTTCTGAGAGTTCAACATCTACACCTTTTGACATTGCTCGACGCTTTTTTAAAAGGTCTTCATTCTTTTTTTCTTCTTCAAGTTCTCTATACTCTATCTCTTCCTCGGTTCTTATTGGATGAATATCGTCTTCAAGGACAAGCTCCGGAACATAAACAAGGATAAAAAGAATTCCAAATATCACGGCAATTGCTTGGAAAAAGCATAACGCCATAATCTTGTCTCGTCTACTCCGCGTTTTCATATTAATCTATCTTCGTCTAGGTTTCTATCTACGCATCGATGGCTTTGACTAAAAATTTTTTAACTTGTATCAAACCATTTAGGAGGGATCCATACCGATCTGTCGCATATATCGTCTTGTCTCCAATAACTACAAAAAATATATACGATGAAATACATATTAAATGTTTATATTTTTCAGACTGTAAATGTCAAACCTTTGTTTCTTCCTATATGCTAAACATGTCTTAACTCCCACCCCGAGTTAGACAAGTTGCGTGCTTGAAATTGAAGTCATTCCAATGCATCTTTAATGAATGAATTGCGTTCTAAGAAGGTCATTTTGACTTTATAAATGAAGTGATAAATGAAAATATAAGTTATTTAGTAATTTATTTACAAAATTATGATTTGTATGTAATGTGCAAGATAAGAATCAAACACCGGTTGTCGTAACAGACATGATTATCTAGCTGTTGGGTAATTGTTAGCGGGTACTCGACAGAGAATCATTGCCCCCGAGAACAGTTGCCATCGAGCTAGAAAGTCCGGTCTGCACCGTGAGATAGCCGATGTAAGATCCCTTTTATATGATATTTGTCCAGTTGTCAGAAATTTATGCTTTTTTGTCTTTTGTTTTTTTATAAACAAAATAAATGTTCTTTAGGTACTAAGATCTGCAAACTTTTTTGACACCATGCATGGTAGATTGTTTCAACAATTTCAAATATGAAGTTTTAAACAATATCTTATTTTAACATTTTAATCAAGGCAATTCACAATAAAAATATTTAACGCTACTTACTTAGTTTCGTAAAGATTCCCTTTTCGATTATTTATCTGTGTGTTTTATAATAAATAAGCAAATATGTACCATTATTTTGATTCATAAGAAAGTAAAAGTGACAAAATGGTGTAAACAGAAAGGCTTAAATATAGTTTTAGTTTTCAAAATATTGGATAGGGTATAGGTTACTCATATTATTGTTCTACATTTGTATATTTTTGAATATCAAATCAATGGCTTATTCGGCTGTGAATAACCATGTATAGCAATGTCTTGAGATATCAATCTAAAAATTGACTCAAGCATGTTAATTATACTATTGTTCGCGTTTTTTGATAAAAATCATTCAATGAATTTCAGCGGTATGTTAATGATATCGGACATTCTATACCGAGTGCGTTAACCGCGTTAACGGTTTAATTAATTAAACGACTTATTTAATAAAATAACTTTCCGTCTCTCTCTTAAAGTGGATCGGTCTATAGTGGAAAATCTGTAAAACTGAAAGTAATTATGTTGATAGTATTTGCTATCAAAAATGAAACCTAACAAGAAAAGAAAAAATGAATGCTGTTGGTAAATTTTAGATACACGATACATCTATATATGCATATATAGTATTAATAATTAAGTGTTCTAGAACAAGATATCATTATTCATAATGTACTTGCATATTTTCATAATAAATCACTTAAGAATTGTATAAAACAACATTTTGTTGTCCAAAAAATAGTTCATAAAGCCTCGGTCTCACTTACTCCCGGCAAAGACCAGGACCATACCGGTAAGTTACCGGGATGATCCGGGACGATCCGGGATGAAATTATTGTTGCGGTCACACTTACCCCGGCAGCACTACGGTAGTTCCCTACTAACCACCCAGGATGCGCTCCGGATCATCCAGGCAGAGCCCAGGTGAAGCTACGGTTCATGCCGGTGCTTCCCCGGTCGTTCCCAGATGACGCCGGAAGAGCCCCGGTTGACCCAGGCAGAGCCCCGGTTGATCCAGGCAGAGCCCCGGCAGAGCCCAGGACGATCCAGGCAGAGCACCGGTAGAACCCCGGTGGATTAAAAACGGCCGAAAATGATAACTTTGATACATAATTTTTATTTAATATAATATCTATTGTTCCAGAATAGTAATTCATGATGATTTCCTGAAAAATCCTTATGCCATACTGGATAGAAGGGAAATGGGAAGACTTTTAATACAAACAAGTTCAATCATCGCAAATTGTCTTTATTCTTATGAAATAATCTGGGCTTTGCCGGGGCTCTACCGGGGCTCTACCGGGATCAATCGTAGCTCTACCTTTATCATCCGGGGCTCTGCCTGTAGTTACCGGGGCTCTGCCGGCATATACCGGGGCTCTACCGTAGCTCTTCCGGCTATATCATACCCCAGATCATCCCCGATTTCTGCCGGCAGAGCTACGGTGCTTTCCCGGTATAACCCCGGTCGTTCCCGGCAGAGCTAAGGATGAAGCCGGCAAAGCTATACCTTCCCGGATCATCCCGGACCACCCCGGTGATATTAAATATTTTATTCCATCCGGGGTCGAATGCCGGATGTTCCCGGATCATCCCGGATCATCCAGGACGTTGTCGGCAGAGTTACGGATGTACCCCGGTTGTTCCCGGACGTACCCCGGTCGTTCCCGGATCACCCCGGACGTCTACCGGGGCTCTGCCGGAATGTAAGTGAGACTGTAGCTTAAGAGTATTCAAATGAAATATTTCTAAAAAAAATGCAGTTTTCGATCATTCTTTGTCGCTATGGGGCATCGTTTTTCGCGTGCCGTTTCGTCGTTCCGGGTTTTAGGGTTGTAGAAGAAAAGATGGCCCTTACAGAACACCGTACTTTATAGACAATGAATGATACGATATTCATCAGTTGTCTGGTCTGTAGTCAAAGAGAGGTTCTTTACACAGGTGTGACCGAATACCTGAACATGTAATACATTATTTGTCAAGTATGGAGGATAAGATGTGTCATTTTGTATAAAATGATGAATGATTGGAAAAATGAATAAATGAATGAATGAAAAATAAATAGATAAAATAAATAAACACACAAACAACTCAATCAATCAATCAATCAATCAATCAATCAATCAACAAACAAACACATAAATAAATAATTAAATCTTTATTATAATTTGGTACCGTTCGCCTTTATGCACCAATACACGGTCACAATGTAACATGGCAAACTATCAGCAATTTTGCATTATGATGGTACGCAAGATAGATATTTTAGAAACGCGGGATTCTAGCATGAGATTGTTAACCCTAGATTTAGCCGTGTCTTAATATGCCATGCATTGACAGATGATATAATAGTCAATTTATCTTATGACACATATACGATTTATATCACAGAGACCCCACGATCAAAAATTTTAAAACTATGAAATCAGTCTCTAGTCTCAATTATAAATAATATGACAAATTGTTTCATACGAGATTGCTTTTTTGCATATACTTTTACATATACCTTTTAAATGAAACAAGCAAAAGTGGCGGCGGACCCAGTGGTTAACGCGTCGGACTAGTAATCTAAGGATTGCTGACCGCGTGGGTTCAAATCCTGTCAGGGGCAAGTCGTTGTTTCCTTGAGCAAGAAACTTTACATTCATTGCTTAGTACTGGTTGGTTCCAGAAACGGATTCGAGAGTGTTTCAAGAAGCTTACAGCTTCCAACACAATCAAACTAAAATAAATCTGTGTAAACTTAACAAAAACAAAAGGAAACATAATAATAATAATTATAATGATAATAATAATAATAATAATAATAATAAATAATAATAATAATAATAATAACAATAAAGAAATAATTATAATAAGATTAACAAATAATAATAAATAATAGATAATAAAATAATAATAATAATAATAATAATAATGATAGTAATAATAATAATAATAATAATCGAATTAATCATTATAAAAAATGACAATGATAATAATGATGATGATGATGATGATGATGATGATGATGATGATGATGAAAACAACCCTCCAAACACAAAGACCGTGTGTTCAATCTATTTCTCAAACATGGCTAAAATACAGGTTATTCCCGGGAAGCGGACGTTAAGTATAGGGTGCAACAATTTGCTTCGAAATCGAATTCAAAATAAATTCGTTAAGTATTTGTCCAATCTTACGTCCAATGAGAATGTTCTAAATTAAAAAATTTCTTACAGTCTATTTTGCTTAAACTGTCAACAATAGCTTTGATTTAACTATTCTTTCTGGATAACCAATTTGCGTGATCAACGATTATTTCTTAAACAGTTACGAGTACATTCGTACTCGCCCTTTTTGAGCTCTTTATTGTATAAGTTTAAATAGCATTATTTTGTGTGACATCTTTAACGTCTTAAATCTTAAACATATTCTCATTCATATATGAGCCGTGTCAATGGGTTTGCGACCAGCATTGATCCAGACCAGCCTGCGCATCCGCGCAGTCTGATCAGGATCCATGCTATTCGCTATTAGTTTCTTTCCTTGTTATAGGGTCGGTAAGCGAACAGCATGGATCCTGATCAGACTGCGCGGATGCGCAGGCTGGTCTGGATCCATGCTGGTCGCAAACCCACTATGTTGGTTTTGTCGTGACATGGCTCATATGTTTTTGTCACATATATGTGATATATTAGCTGTGTCTGTTTAACACAGTCAGCTATGGGGAAGTGATTAAAAAAACCTATTAAAACTTTTGAAACCATTGTTTATTTCGATCTTAATTCGTATGGATTTGATAAACAATACAATATCAACAAAATGTAAAAAGAAGTTCTTGTTAGTCTAAGGTAAGTTGGTATTCCAATGTGACATATGACACAAATTTGAAATAATAATTTGATATGTAAAACTACTTGTTTAAATAGTGTTATAAAAACGTGTCTGGTATTGATAGTAATTGGTTGGAAGACAATTAATAACACGTACAATCAGTTATAATTATTATCACAAAATAAACTATAACAATATAACAATAACAATTTTATATATAATATATATCAAACAGTTAAACGCATTTGAGCATTAACAATAATACAACGTTTTTAGATATATTTTACACGTATGCTTTAAAATGCAATAGAAAATTATGTAATTATATATATAATACATACAACAAAGTTGAATAATTCAATTTTATACATGTACGTACCTTTGTTTTAATTATTTCTACACTTGTCGCCTATGACCCTTAATTATAACCCGCTCGATTTCAAACCTAGATTTGAATATGTAACGGTCCAATCAAAATTTAAGGGAGTACCACATTTTCTTGTATGACTGTATTTCAAAACCGTTACGTAAAATTCTTGTTTGTTATGTTTTTAAAGGGACTCCTCCATTGACGTGGCGGAAAAGGGATTTTTTAGGCTAATGTTGATGTCAACGGCTAATCACTTTTGGATTGATTATTTTGTGAGCGAAAAATATCAATACCGAACATGATGCAGATTATCTACAATATATCTATCTTATATTAGAAATAAGCATGTTATGCAATGACAGTTTGTATAACGTTTGTATGCATGAATTTTCAAACTTGTCCTTAACATTTCATTGATTGAAAATACGGTACTCAATTACGTGTGAAAAACAACAAGAACAAAAAAAATAACGAGGTCCAGAAGCTTAAAAACACAAAACTATCAAAGTTAAGCATTTACACTTGAAAACACTGCAAAGGATTACAAAAAATAAACTCCCCAGAATTGAACTGAAAAATAAAATTGTGCCGATCTTCGCCAGATTTGAGGCAACGCTTTTCATTTTTTTTTTGTTGGTCATTTTGCACTTTTTTGTTGGTCATTTTGCACAGTAAAAATGATCATTATGGGTAAAAAAATGAGAAGAAAGAATAAGCTGAAAATTTACACACAAGTTATAGGTCATGACCTTGAACAATTTTTTCACACGACTCTGAATGTATTTTCATATGTAATTTTCAAATTGACATATTTTCTTGGTATTGATCAGTGACATCAAGTATCATTAAAGAATTAAAGGCTTATCCCACCGAAAAGAAAAAAAATCATACAAAAAAAAATGTATGGAACTAAAAATATATAGATATATAAAAATCATCATTATTTCTAACATTATCGAATTCATAATAGAAGAAAAATATTTATTTGATTCTGAGGCATTATGTGCCTTTAAAAAATAATCGGAAAATTTGCAGTACTCTGAGGGTTTTGTCTAAAAGTTTGGTATCACACGTATCTATAGATGTAATCATATTCTTGTGATTGATTTAGTTAAGACATCTTCTTTTCAATTTACCAGTCGATTTTTTTCTTTTGGTAAGATTAAAGATTATTAAATTTATTTGAAGGCATGGACGGCCTTTAATACATTATGACATTATGCATTTTTTTTTAAATATGGTAAACACGTAAAGCATGAAATTACATTATGTTGTATATTGAAAAAGTACTGCATATTATGCATTAACAAATATCACATAAACAAGTCCTAAAAAAAGCCATTCAGTATTACGCAGTCATAAATATCTCATTGTCAAATCTTCGGCAATGAAACACGAGCTTTCGTGTGTCTTGGAGTGAAATAAGTCAAGTCGCCTGTTTCTTTAACGACTTTCAGTTCGCTAAACCTTCTGGGTGTTCTTGTGGCGGCCATTTTTGTACCAGTATCTTGTAATTTGGAATATTGCATTATGGGTCTAGAAATATCCGGTTTATCTGTGTCACAAGAATCGCACACATCCTCAAGATTCAGTTTCTGAAGTTTATAGTCTTTGTTTTTGAACGGACGCTCTCTACCTCCAAGGACTGTACTTCCATATTGAGATTCTTCTGTGCGCCGATTGGGCTCGGATTCGTAACTTCTGAAGGTTTCGGGTGCAGAGTCTGACTCTGTTAACCTGCTGTCAAGGCGAGGGGTCATGATCTGTTTGTACCGACGCACTTTCTTTGTACCTATTTTTATTAAAAAAAAGATTCAGGAAAAAATATAAATCAGTATTGCACTTGAGAAAGAAACATTTTAAGGTATTTCGCGTAAATCATCAAACAGCCTTGAAACTTTGTTAAATATTCTGATCAGAATAAGCACTAAAAATACATGACCAATTTAAAATCTCCACGTTTTTACTATTGCCAATATTACGTACGGGATTGAACGAAGTATCATGGAAAAGTACAGAAACTAATGACAGTTGTCGGATAAATACGGAAACTAACGAAGTTAGTCGATTGTTACGGAAGCTAACGAGGTTAATCGATCTTGTCCGGAATTTTACAAAATAGTTTGAATGAACATTCGTAATGGATGGTTCTTTGTAAGTCATAGATTCATATTTATTGTTTGTCAGGTCTTAGTAAAATGAACCAAATGTGAAAAGTGTACCTGTAGTCAAATCAGTTGCTTCCTGGGGCGACAAAAACCACCGTAATTTTCGTTTGTCTTTTGGAATAAGTTCACTGAGCTTCTTTGATGCTGTTGAAACTCTAACCTTTGGAAAATATAAAAATGCATGTTTTAACTGAAGATACCTGTTAGAATAGATGGTCACTTTTGTACTTATTCTGGCATTATTTATTGTGTAGATCCAACGATTTTCAAATTACACTGTTACGGAAGAAAAATACATGACGTAGGTATGAAAAGGATCAACAATGGATGATATAACATGAAGTAAGCTTATTGTTGCAACCGAAAGTTGTATTACACTTTAAAATTACATCAACATCCCTTCATGTGACATGCCATTTTTTTGTAGTTATATCACTAATACTTCAAATTCTCAAGCTTGTGTACCTTTTTGACCTCCGACACATCCCGGAAGACATTTTCAGCATCTCTCAACATTTCATCCAGAGTGATTGAACTTTCCAAGTCAGGTGGTTTCCGGTTCACGTGGAATTTCCCGGAATAATCAATATCCTGTAAACTAAACAGATCTTCTTCATTATCCCCTGATATTTCACCTTTGTAGATAAAAGCCCCACTGAAAGGGTCGAAAGTGTACTGGAAAAGACAAACCATTAATGTAACAATAACTTTATATTACTTGTACCATGTTACCTGGCATGCAATTAATACAAAAAATATTTAAGGTATTAGTTAAACAGAAGTATTCACTAAGACATGTTTTCGTAATAAATTACAAAATCTTGTTGATAAAGCATTGATATTGATTTATAAATGAGTGAAACTTCCAAAGAAAGAAAGAATAAAGTAACATAATATCTAATTACCAAAGGTAGAAGTTTCCAACCATGTGTAGCCACCATATCGACAGCCTTGATGACGTAGTCGATAGTTTTGTCGTCATAAAAATATGGAAGATTCACTCGTACGAATCCAGGTCTGTAATGAATCAAATAAACCATTCATCAAAGACTATAAAATTTACAAAGACCTAATAATTTCCGTTGAAAATTCCCTTTTTATTCCCTCTTATTCCTATAAATTCTTCAAATATTTGTACATAAATTTCCTATAAATTCCCTAATGTATTAATTCCTAGAAAAAATATATTCAATTCAAACGTCATTTCTTCTTGTGGATAAAAATTTCCTAACAATTTCCTATAAATACCATTTAATAGTCCCATTAACTTCCCTATTTATTCAACAAACTTGGATACTTTTGAAGAAGCGTCTTAAAACAAAGATTTATCTTGTCCTTGCGCATATACACATGTCAATATGACAGGACGAATGTCAACAACAAGTCTGATGTCTAATGGATAAATAATTACAATCGTTTACTAAAATATGTTTATAAATTTGTGAACATTTTTGCAGAATACTTTACAAAATAAAGTCATACTCCTTGTAAATCTTCTTTTTTTATCAGAAATACATATTGGTGTAGTTTGGCAAACACACGCGGCAATCTTAACAATTTAGCATAAAAATTATTGACATCAAATTTTTTTCCAGTCTGATTTATAACAGCATGATTTTGATTATCATTTTTATTAATTACTGATTAATTATCAATTGCAGTGAAATACGTGTAGTACATGTACATAATTATACATACCTCATAATTCCCATTGGACTTTGAGGACAATTTGATTCCATTCTGTAAAATGAAGAAAGAAACATGTTTGAAAACACAATTGTTCAAGTGTTTCAAGAAACATTTCATCAATTTATAAAATTAATATTTATCTACGTAAATGTATAATGTAACAGTTGTATAACAAAAGTTGTAGACAAAAATGACTGTACATAGTATACTCATATAGCAAACAGAAATGACACTTCGCTAAATAATGAAATTTTTATTTCACAAAGTATAAGATTTGTTGAAGGCATATTATGTGTCAGGAATAGATTTTATACTTCTTTAGAAAGATCAAACATGAATTTTATAATGTTAAATTAATGGTTAAGACTTAGATAAAATAAGATGCTTGTTTCCGCAAAATAGTTGCGAAAATGTGAAATAATGTCTCGTAAAAGTAGTAAAATTTAAACAAAGTACTCTTTTAACTTAAATACAAAATGTTATCCAATGTAACTGTACTGATTGCAAAAAAGCTACAGATGAAAAAAGATAGTTCAGGCAATTGTCTAATGAGTATTTTCTTGGACACTCGAGAAGTACTCCAAAGTTAAAAAGCTTCTGGCAAATAAAAATAAAAGAATTTCTGAGGCAAAATGGTACTTTATTTTACCGGAGGGAGAAAAAAAGCACTGCCGCATATACATAAAATGTAGTCCACTCGCTCTTTGTGTTTTGTGACTAAATTACGAGGTATGTCAGAATTATCAATTATTAGGTCAATTTGAGTTCAATATCACACCGACTCTAGATTTTTCTAAATCACTTACCCTGGGTGCTCATTGGTGAACCATTTCAGTCTTTTTGCCATTGGTTCGGATATTCCCAGTAAGTCCTGAAGAAAGATAAATCAAAAATAATTATTACGTTTTATTATAAAGTACAATGCATACAAGATATATTATAAATAATGTATATAAGCTTTTAAAATAAAATATATAATCTCCAAGGCCATCCGAGTTTTAATTCAATGTGCTTTTCTGTTATGTAGTTTTCCTTTGAACAAGTTTTTTCAAAAAAGTTAAATAAGTATTTTAGATTTTATCGATTTTAATAAAAATACACAAAACAACAAATCATTACTTACATGACCGTACGGTCCAGCGCATGCGCAACCACCACGTGACTGAATACCAAAGAGGTCATTGAGTAAAGTCGAAATGAAATTATAGTGCACGTATTTCCCTGTATCTTCGTGTCGTACAATAAAGGAGAATATTGTAATTCTTTCAGCATTGTGGCTTCCAAGAACAATAAGATTTGGATTTCTCTCCCACACCGCAAATGCTCGACTGTAATATCAAAATAAATGTACACATACAAACTTGAATTTATTCGTTTTCATTACTATTTCCAAGTATGCGTTATCACTTGTGTGAATCGTCATTCGTGTCATTTACTTTAGACAAGTTTGTTCAAAAATTATTTTACTACAAGCATTTAAATAGGTTTCGTGAAAACCATTTTGAAAAATCTCAAGATTCTGAATCCGTGTTTCTTTTAAGCAAATTTAAAGATGTAAAGACCTATTATGCCCCAGAAAAGCCTTTTTTTTCTCAAAAGCTTTTTATTTCTGGTGTCCTGTTGTGGTTTTCCAAAACAGTTACTCATAAGCAAATATCTGAACCATCATTTGCATCTGTTGTGTTTTGCCAATTGGTACAGTTATAATAGTTTTGTATTTTGTATGGAAGTCAAAATACTACATTGATTACATGTATATACAAATTATTTCACATTCAGTTTATCATCTAATTTGCTGTAAAACCATTATTTAAACGTTACACAGTTCATGTTTGCCCTTAATACAGTTTCTGGGGCAAAATACATTCAAATCTACTGATTAGAAATGGATATAGTTGCAAAAGGTTCTTGAAAACAGACACATATTTATATTCCAAGTTAGAGATCACAAATACCTCTACCTACCAGCACAAATCTTCATCTCTAGTAGCAATAAGTTTCTCAGTCACTGCAGCTTTTAGCTGAAATGCCAGCCCCGTTCTGATTGACTCAATAATGGCGGGAGTCCCGCCCTCTTCACGTGCTTCGATGTCGCTGGTGTATGCGTGAATTTCTCGCGAGACCTGATATAACGTACAATAGATTAACATGAGTTCAAATTAATACGAAATGTAATATTTTGATTTAAATTTGATGATAAAAGAATGGGTGCACCCAAATCCGAACATGCTCCTAACTCCGAACAAAATATATTTTTTATCTATATACATGTACATGTTATAAATCAGTGACGACACTAGACATAATTATCTCCTGACATATTTTTTTTTCAATTCCATGTAATACCCCGGTCACATATTCACGGAATACGCCCACGGAAGAGCCACGGATTAATTCCGGCATCGTCCGTAGCTACCCGTACTGGTCAGTAGCTCTCCGTATTGTAACCGTAATCAATCGTAGTAGTCCTTGTATATCCGTAGCGATCCTTGACAATTTTTGAACATGCTCAAAAATTTGCTACGGAAAAATCAAACGTAGCGTATCCGTACTAGTCCGTATTAATCCGTACTGATACGTACTGGTCCGTTCGAAAACCGTACTAGTCCGTACTGATTCGTAGTCCACCAACTTGTCAAGGATTTCCACGGTTTTGTACGGAGAACTACGTATTTGTACGGTTACCCTACGTATAAGCTACGGTTTTAATACGGATTAATACGGCATTGTCACGGAAAGCCACGATCGTTATACGTTGTACTACGGAGAGGTAAGGTTTAGCACGGTCTTATACGGTTTATTGCGTTGCAACACGAAACGGTACGGAATGGTACGGTCCACCACTGTTTAGTACGGATGAGTTAAGTATCATGTACTTTTTCAAGGGTATAAATACTACCTTCTTGTTAAAAAACAGACATATTTGCAGAAACATTTAATAAATGATAATTGCCATTTACTGGCTGCAACTTTATATTGAAATGGCTCAGAATACGGAGGCAGTGGTCGAGCTGCTTGATGACATACATAGAAGTAAATTTATATTAATATCGTACTACAATTCATAAGTAATAAAATAACATTTAATGTTACATATTATACAAACATTGGATCGTGAAATAAGAGTAAATATGTACATAAAACGAAGTGTCTCATAAGCCTCGGAGGCTGGCCCTTGAGTGATAATAAGATTAATTAACAAGCTTTTTACATATTTTTAAAACATAAACATCACGATAATTAATATAATTGTAAGATGAACAGCAAATCTTAAAATTAAAAGAGAAGCAGTATTGATCAACATTTTTCATTAATGATTACTAGTCCATATCTAATCAGGTAAGAGAAGACAGACGAGATGGTGGACTAGAGATGGGCTTTTACGAAGACCGCTTCAAGTTTAGTATAAGGCTCTCGTGGCCGAACTTGTTGAGGATCCAACGTCCTTCAAGAAATTCACTTTAATCGGACCTGATGTGTTTCGGGGGTCGGACGCGATTAGGCCGAGTCCTCTCCGCCAAAATCATTGAACTCTGCAATTCGTTTTCTAGGTGTTCTTTTCTTTTGAGGCATTTTGAATATGAGCAAGCAAGAGGTTGGGGACGGATGTATTAGGTCCGTATAGATTCCGTGGCGATTCGTTCTTCTCCGTATCAATACGTTCTTCTCCGTATTCAGACCGTACTTATTCGTACTAAACCCGTGCTTATACCGTAGCAGACCGTAGTGTATTCCGTAGTGCGCCCGTCCTGATTCGTGTCGCTCCGTATCAAAACCGTGTCGGTCCGTAACAATCCGTGTCTATCCGGGGGCTTTTGGTGTTAATCCGTCGGACTCCGTACTCATACCGTTGTGTGTCCGTACTGGAACCGTAGCGGACTACGAAATTTCACATTTCCGTAGTAATCCGTGAACGATTAGACCGTAGCTCTTCCGTGGCATTATCCGTGAATATGTGACCGGGGCATAAAGTAGCACTAATCACTAAAAAAGATACTTTGATAGAATTTCAACTGGTAGTAGTTAAGTACTAGCGTAGAATTTTGAAGAATGTTAGGCTAGTCTTAATTGATATAATTATTAAATATATCAAAATTTTATTGCCGGATTTCTTTGCAAACTTTACCATACCAATAAATTCATATCTTTAAAGGGGTTTGATACTATTGACGTTACATTTTAATACTGTCTTTATCCAAAAGGCAATAATGACAAAAAAAAAAACAACAACAAAAAACATTTCGCTAGCGGGACTCAAATTCGAACAAAAATCAAGATTGGCAGAACATGTGTTATCCATACCAGTCTATGTCACCTTTATCACTCCAATATATGAAATGGACTATAACAGAAATAAGTACACATTTACTTACATAAACCACTGTCCCTCCGCCAACACGGTCAGGTACGTTGTTCTTAAACATCCATTTCTTGGCTACAACAACACCAGGCGACCCTGGACCACCGACAAACTTGTGAGGGCTTATAAACACCGCATCTTTATAGCTTTACAAAATAAATAGATACAAATATGAACAACACTTTGGTTTTGCTATGTCTCAAATTCGCTCGGTTTCGCTGTTTATTAAAATGGAATGAAATTATAAAATATTGCTTCTCTGAAACATTTATTTATAAACTTATATACAAATAGTTAAAGTTTAGACTTGCCTGATATGAAACATTTAAAGATATTCACGTGTATTAGATTTACTCCGAAATTTTTACAGATTCCACTTCGAAAAATAAGCGCAACAGGTTGGTTAAACTTTTATAAATGGTAGTGCACCTTGAGTACTTTATTTAGAGAGGTGATGGGTAAAAAACCCACATTTTTTGCCAAGTTCCGAATAACAGCTACTTTAGACACATTTTAAGGTATCAGATTATTCGGATGATAATGCGTGCGGATTACCTCTTTTTTGATGAATTCATGTTGATATCGAGGTATGGTCCTCCTCCGGCGTAATCAAAGGCCACTAGAGCTCCATACTGGTGGGCTATAGAGGAAATCTCGTCTGTATCAGTGACAATGCCTGTAACATTGCTAGCAGCCGACACACAAACGAGCATGTGACGTCTTTTATCCTTCCAAAACTGAAATATTTGTATTATAGATATAGTACATATTGTCTTTGTTTATATATCAGTTTTAATTGCATATTTAAATACATAGTGAATTAATTTATGTAATACTAATGTAGTAGAAAAAGCACGAACAAAAAGTAAAAACAAACAACATTAGGACAACACATACTGCTTAATATGAAAATAAAATGACGTAATATGTTTTAAAACCCATACAAGATTGTTTAAATCATTGGTGTTTTCTTACCAGTTTTGCCACTAGAAAAATCATCACAAAAATGTTTTGATAAATAAATAAATAAATAAGATACAACAACAACAACAACAAATTGTATACCTTAAGTTCTGACTCTAAATGCTCGGTATCTATCAGACCGTCATCTTTGTCACGTATTCTTACAACCTGAAACATAAATACACTTGACATATATAAATACACGTGGCATTTTGTCAATTAGAAAACGTAGCGATCAATTCAATTCCAAGCGAGCGTGCGATCGTTTTCTAAATCAAATAAAAACATTATTGGCACATAAGTTGCTGTTTTTTCTACTATTAAATGCATTGCAGGTCTTGATATAAAGACTTCTCATATAGTATACATTCAAGCTCTTTAATACGAAAGTGTATGAAACTTGTGCAATAACGAAATCGATTTTCCGGAAGATTTCCCGAGTTTATTTTATGTAGGCCACCAACCCATAAGATATATACAGTTTAACAAAACTAAATTGATATTCTCAATACGTACTGTTGTTCCAAATTCCTTCCAAAGGAGCATGTTAGCATGATGTTCGTATGGCCCAATCAAAACAAC